TCTCTCTCTCTCTCTCTCTCTCTCTCTCTCTCTCTCTCTCTCTCTCTCTCTCTCTTTCTCGCTCTCTCGACGAAAATCCAGGAATACGTATACGTCTCGAAGAATTCCTAATTGGGTCTCTTTGTTTCGAAAATTGAACGATTTAACGATACCAACCAAATGTGTTTGCATCGTGTGTTTGCAATCTTTCATTATCGATTCCTGATTTTAAAACGAGAATTGATATAAAAACGATCAATTATTAGATCAGTGTGATGCGTTTTATCTTTTTTGTAAAAGTTTCAAATGCGATTAATGTTGCACAATGTGAACCGATTGAATTATGGTACAAGAGAAAAAAAGATGAGGATCTTAGAGAACAGATATCCAACGTGTTTTGGATATCCGATATCCAACATAGAAGGAGCGATAAGATTTTTCTTGGTGGAGGGAGTGGAGGGGGAGAGAGGGAGGGGGGAAGAGGTTATGAAAAAGTTGAAGATTAAAAATAACTTGTATAATTTCCTTTGTCTCTCGTTATATATCAATTTAATTGTCAACAAGAATCAAACTTACGTAAGTTTGAAAATGAAAACTGAAAAGCAATAAAACATAAATTGAATCTCTAAGAGCATTAATGGCAAGGACAATCGAGATTCCGTTTGTCCACAGGAGGCTTTTATCGCGACAATTTCCAACGATTTTCTGAAACGATACAAGAAGCCATTCTTTCTTCGTTTTAAAATTGCAACTGCAATTGAAATTAATTATAATCTTATCCTCTTCCCGGTAGTCTTAATCATTGGATTAATCGTTTCGACATTCGACATCGTTGTTTCAAATTATCAATAGCCATTAAAACAAATCTAATTTTAATTTAAACGAATTGAATTTCTCTGATATTATCCAACGAACCGTGATACACGAAACGTTTAATTAGCGTCTAAGGCAACGTTTTATTCGCCACTCTTCCACTCGAAAATTCCTGCTAAATTACTCCTCTTATTACTCCCATAGTTTATATATTATTACATATATAAAATGTTTTCGTCTACAAATTTATCCAAATTAATGCTCGCTTGTATCTTGTCGATGTGCTTCTAATCTTCTGAAAAAGGGATCGAATTAATTCGACATTAATTTTTATAAATTCAAACAACTAATCTCTTCAAAATCTAAATTTGAATACACCTCTTATAATTATTATTACAATTGCGCGGCGAAACATTCTCTTCCCTTCCCTTCTCTTCTCTTCCCTTTCGTTCGCGCAACTGTCACATAATTTATTCATAAAAGAGAGTTAATGTAATCCGCAAGAGAAATGGGCAAAGTTGCCAGTTACGTGTTAACCGCAAGAACGTGAGTTATATATCCAACGTATCGTACAAGGTTGCAATTACAAGTTCGTGTACAAACTGTCTCCTTCGTGTAATCTCTATTGTTGAACGTATGCGTGTACACAAGGAGAGAAGACACGTAGGAAGGAATATAGAACGGCAAGTTTCACGAAGCTGATATCATTTAATTGAAAGCGATTACGTGACTGTCCATTTGTTCAAAATTCTAATAATCCTTTTGTTGATCAAGTTTCCCTTGAATCGAATCATATGCATTAAAGTATTTGCATAGAAATACCCTTGTGACAATTTTTTTTTTTCAAAAATAACGATGAGAATATTCCACGACGAACGAATATCCTTGGATTCAACGATGAACAGTAATTCACAGTGGTACGGTTTATTATTGGTCAGATCGTCGTTAAAGAGAAAGGCCGTTCTCGTTCGTAATTTTTCGCGTTAATTTTTTCTCGAATAATTCAAGTTGATTAAATGAAAAGAATATAATTATAATTCTTATTTATTATTTTCTAAATCCATCGATCGTTATATGCGTATACACTTCTTTTATCTTTAAAGAAAGATTTTTCTTCGTGGAAAAATCAAGTCGAAATTCACAAATTCTTCGAACAATTCTCCTCTCCTCCCGTGTTATCGAATTCCGGGCTAACGATAACTGTTTCACGTGTCAAACACGTTCATTCTCGGATAAAAGTTACAATAACGGGCGACATGTAGCCCGTCCACTTTCACTCGGCCATACCGGTGCTC